AGGGAGGGATAGTATAGAGGTATATAATGAATATTGAGGAGAAAGTGAATAAGGAAGTGTAATTTACCCCCTCACATAACACAAGAACTAGGGTTCACCCAATGAAATTAATAGGCCGCAGGTTTAAAACAAACATAAGGAAGTACTTTATCATACAACACCCAGTCACCACTGAAACTCATTGCTAGGGGATGTTGTAAAGGCCAAAACTTTATAACTGGGTTCAAAAAAGAATTAAGTAAGTTCAGGGAGGATAGGTCCATCGATGGCTATTAGCCAAGATGATCAAGGACACAACCCCATGCTCTGGATGTCCCTACATTTCTGACTGCCAGAAGCTGGGACTAGATGACAGGGGATGGATCCCTCAATAAATTGCCCTGTTCTGTTAATTTCTTCTGAAGCATCTGGCACCAGCCACTGTTGGACAACAGGATACTGGGCTAGATAGACCATTGGTATGACCCAGTATGGCCATTCTTATGTTCTTAATATTACTTCCTATAGGTTATTGGCCTCCATCCTTTTTATAAAAAATTACCTAAATTAAGAGATCTGGTGTACCAACTAGTTTCCTACACCTCCCATTCAGCTATGCATGCACAATGGAATTTAGGCTACTATCTCTGTCATAAGAATGGCATTTGGAGCAACAAGCTCCACCGTGGATTAGACGGCACAACCAGGAAATCTGCAGCAGCCCAATTTTGTCACCTTTACTCACTCTGGGTAATACCTTACTACACAGGTAGTCTCATTAACTTTAGTTGACTATTCACAGAGAAAGGTGCTACTCTGTAAGTAAGGGTGGCAGAATTGGGCTTTGTGATGGACAACAGGGACATAGAATTATAGTTCCCAAAAGTGAGTCCTGAGGCTTGTATCAGGGGTTGTTAACCACTGATTTAGGCCATAGCACTATTTTATGGGATTAAGAGGGCTTTTAGGGGTACAAGTAGACATTTTGCTGGCTCTCTGCACAAAGGTGAATTTCACCCTCTTTGTGATTTAATTCATAATTAGCTGTTATTTTTTATTTCACAGAATTGTTTAGATCCATGTTAGAGATGTGGTTTCTTAATCTCCTACTATTAATAATCATTTTTTCTAATAATCAATACATAAATGCAAATCCATACAGGACTGAAATAAAAGGCACATAAGCTCTGCATAGTTTGTACTTGGTGCTGGATACCTCATTTTGATGATTGCAGTCATCATTCATCTGAAGAGCAGAAGCTATGATTGTTAAGCCTCGTTATTTTCAATGAGGCCTGACAGTTGCAAGGTTAAACAGAAGACAGCAACTTTCATCCTACTGGTATTTCTTTTCAAATATGGGCAACTCTTCACTAACTTGTCTACTTTGGTGTCCATTGCCATTGGTTGATCACAAAATTGTGACAATATCTACGTAGCTAAGCACGCTTGCAGGAGAAAGTTTAAACATTGATCTCTATTCCATATTTACCTTATGAGCTTAAAGGTACTTAAATAACTGAAACCATTGTAGTTTTCCCCCCAGGTGTGCAGCTGCATAGCATTGCTTTTAATACAACAGTGATTTAAATAATCACGCTATCAGGTGTTTCTGTTTTCCAAAAAATAATGAACCCTCAAATCTCAGACTTTCAGTGTGTCAGATTAGTTTCTTCATCCCTCTTGTTCCATAGCAGGGATTGTATTATCCTGGGGACAAGTACTAGTATGAGAGAGATTTTCATAGGTGCTTAAAGTGGCTGAGAAGGTTGTTATAATACTATTGAACATAATAAATAAGATATCTGTGACATCCAAAGGTCCTAGCAGCTGCTGAAAGTAAAGGGAGGTGAATGATGACATCTAAATCAGGCCTGGCCTCCTTCCCTTTTCATATTCCTATAACACTGAGCTTTGTGGGCCTGAACAGGTCTAGAGCCAGCAGCAGCCCTAGCCATTTTGCCAGCCAGGACAGAAAATGTTTTAGGACCATGCTCCCCGACAGCAGCTGAAAGTGGGAGAAAACACAACCAGCCAGTCAGGATCAGAGTGGGGGGAAAAACAGCACAGCACTTCAGCACTCCTGGAAGTTGGCACCCAGGACAACCACCCTGCTTGCCCAGAACTGGCCCTGCCTACAGCCCCCATTCGTGAAGATTAAAAATGTCATCTTAACCCTTAACCTAAAAAAGCCATCAAAGGAAAGCTGCTCTTCTTGGATATCTCACAGATCTTTTGCAGAGACATTAGGCGATTCCTGGTTGGTGAAGGATAGGGAACTGATGTCTATTCAATGAAAGAGGGCATATCTCCTGCAGATGGAAAGCAGAAAAGATACAGTGGGTCTGATCCTCAGCTGATGTGAATTGGTATCACTCCATTGACTTCAATTGTTCAAATTAAAACTGGTTGAAAAATGGAATTCCCGTCCCATGGGAAAAGATTTTGAAATTGTGTTTCATCCTGAATTCGGACGAAGAGTAGAAATCTTGGAATTTGTTTGTGAAACGAAATATTTCATTTGTACTTTATTAAAAGATTTCATTTCAATAAGGTCAAATCGTTTTGTTTCAACTTTATCATTTTGACTTTTATAATTTTATTATTTTTACTGTTATAAAAGTTGAAAGATTTCATTAATAACATATTTGTTATCAAAATGATGAAGTCTGAATGGACTGTTTCATCCCTATGAAATGTTTCAATAATTTCCCATCAAAAATTTCAACAAAATAGATGCACTGCCATGAAATGTTTTGATTTTGTCAAATCAGCATTTTCCAAAAGAAAAGCATTACATCATAAAATTTTCACAGCTATATTCCAAATTATTTTAAGTATTGTCCCTGAAATAGGAAATGATAAAATATATGAACTTCTAAGTAACAGGGAAGAAAAATATGGCCCATCATGTAGCTATGAGGTAAAATCCTTACATCTTCTAGGACCTAAAAGCCACTCACTTAGCCAGCCTGGAAAAGTATTTCTGGTTAGGGTAAACTACATAAGAACTGACTTATGAGAGTTGTGTTGATCAGGGTGGGTAAGTTGTTTCCTTCCTGACCCTCACCCCCAAAAGTTTGATGAACTCCTGTAGAGGCATGTGTTATGGCAAATAATGGAAATTATAGAAAATAAAAGACAAAAGAAAAATGACAAAGATATTTAGACAAGGGGGAAGAGGAAGAGAAGGAATAGTTAACCTATAATGATACTACCTATGCTAATACTTAAAATGTGAAACTACACAGACATAAAAACTGCATCTCCAGTACCTTCACTGTGGAAAATGCAACTAGTACCATCTAAATTTTCCATGTGTCATTTCCTGGTGCCTGTTGATAATCTTCCCCTCAATTGCTTTTGGGTAGTGAATTCCTAATCTAGTTTCAGGATTTAAGCCATCTGAATAGCACAATAAAAGGTGTAGTTTCATGGTGCTCAGAGGTTCCTGGAAAATGTGAGTGTTTCAGTACCTAATTGTACACATTAGTGAGTATCAGATGTTATAACTTGTGGCAGTAAATCCAAGAAGCACGAACTAATTCTTTTGCACTGAAGTCACTAATGCATCCATTAGGTCAAATGCATTTTTCAGCTTTAAAGGGGTTGAATTACTTTTATATTGAATTTATGTTCCAGTGCTGTGCAGTATATATGTGTATATATGTATTTATGTTACCAATGTTGTGCAGTATACAACACATATACACACAAAATCATCTCAGACCAGAAAAGATGGTGAACTTTCAGTGTTGTGTGCAGCTAATTGGACTCACAAGTCACAACTCTTGTTAACTGGCATAGGCACTGAAAATATTCCCTTTCCCTCAAAGTCCAGCTTTATGCTCTGTGTTTATTTGTGGGAGAACTTTCATTGGAGGATTACATAAAAAAATAGATAAACCGAGGAAATAGCTAAATACACTTTCATTGGAGTGCTTAAGAAAAATGCATGTGACTGAGAACTCCTGGACAAATTTAGAATTTGGGTTTGGTTATGTGCCAGGAAGAGTCTGATCTTGTGAGGCACTGAGCACCCTCACTCCCACTGCATTGAAGTCTATGGGAATTGAGGACTCTGAGCATTCTGCAGGATTTGACCCTAAATTATTGTATGCTCTTGTTTGTATCATCAATTCAAAACATATGAACCAGTGTAGAAATAACATCTTATACACTCTCAACTCAGAAACTTGACTTATCATGTATTTTGAAAAGAGATTTTGATATAAACACATATGGGATTTTTAGAGGTAAACATACAGTATGTGCAAGGCACATTGCACAATTGAGCTAAGGCTTGGTCTACCGTTAAAAATTAGATCGACCTAGCTACGGTGCTCAGGGCTGTGAAAAATTTGGCACCCCCAGCACCTTAGTTAGGTCAACCTAACCCCCACTGTAGGTGCAGCTGAGGATTCTTCTGTTGACCTGGCTACCGCCTCTCGGAGAGGTGCATTAACTACAGTGACAGAAAAAACCGTTCTGTCAATGTAGGAAGCACCTGTGCTACATCAGCATAGCTGGGGTGCTGCAGACTTGCCACTGTACCACTTGTAGTTTACACATAGCTTTAGTACCAAATGCTAAAAGAAAATAAGACAATTAGTATTGTGTTTAGTGAAGTCAACAGCCACAGAGTAGGGTTGTTGTTTTCCTCCAGGAATTGAATGTGCTGCCCATGTATTGCGGCATATCTGCAGCAAGATTTATTCATAGTCCTGTGTAAACTAGTGTGTCATGGGGGTCTCAGATACTGTATGTACTACACAGAGGGAAGATGAGTTGATATACACCTCTGACTGTGACTGGGTTGGGCTGTAGGTTAAAAGTTTCTCTCAAGTTGTCTGCATTCTGCCCTAGTGTCTGTCTTTTACAGTAATGCTTTGTTTCTTAGCATGACCACCACCAGGACAGCTTGGTTCAGTGCAAACACTGTCTCTTTCAGCCAGAACATTCCTAATGTTAGCTTCCTTTTTATTTTCTTCTCTCCCTTCCCCCCATTGCTCCCATCTCAGGTTGGAAAGGCTGGTGGACGTCCTGAGGAAGAAGGTTGGAGCAGGGACCATTAGGACTGTGATCTGATTGAAAGCTCCAGCCTAGGGAAGTATTCACATCTGGTGACCAGGCTGCTTCATTCAGCACTGTGTAAACACTAAAGCCTTAACTTAGCAAACAGTTGTTAGAAGTGGGACACTCCAATGACATTCCAGACTGAGATAAAATCAAATCATAAATGTTTAACCACTTTGCTGCTGAGTTGTGTTATTTGTCAAACTGTATCTCTGCAAACATGTATTTGCTTTAAGCAGCTGTATTGTGGTATGGTCAGTGAGTATTGTGGAAATCATTTGTGTGCTGTTTTAACAATAGTCTCTTCACGCAGTTAACATTGTCGGACTATAGTGTGCTGCAAGGCATAGCCCGGCCATGTTACATACGGCCTGCTTCAGGGGCCAGTCCTGCAAAGTGTAAAGCTACAATGCTATTTAGCAATCCGCAAACAATTGAATATTTTAAGGTTGAATGTATTTCTTACTGATAATAGAGGTTCAGATTCAATGTTCTATCTATGTAATATCATGGAGATGTTTTCCTCGTAATGCACACTCATAATCCCTCCGTATTGTAATTGTTAATCAGAATTATGTACATGCATCATGGGGAAGGTAGACACATGGCTTTAAAAAGACTTTCTATAGCTAGCACAGAATCCTACTCCAGATCCATTTCAGCTCCTTATAAACATGTATGTACAGTTAGATTTCACTAAAAGAGTAGATTCGTTAATTTGTAAAAATGTAGTTACATTGATCAGTATTGAAGCTGTAGAGATGATTATTCTGATTGTTATATGTCGCTCTTCTTCCCTCTCCTATGAAAGAAAATCTCTGCGGGGTTAATACTCCACCTTGCTGGGGCAAAGGAACTGCCGTTCACCTCCACTGTGTAAGGCACAGCCTCAGCTCTTCTATATCAATCTTCCTGCCTCCTCCTTTGAAATGGAAGCACTGAACATTCTGCTCAGCCCCCCTCGTCTGGCTTTTGTGTGTTTCTGCTGTCTTCTCTCTTTAGTGATTGTTTTTATAGATGCAATGAAAGAAGAGAATAGAAGAATGAAGGAAAGAAATCTGCACTATGCCATTTAATGTGGAGAATCAGACTCAGGGTCCGTCTTTCTGGTCAGACACTGCAGTACTCTGCATTCTTTGTCTGCAGACCTAGGCTCCTTTTGGTTTCAGTCTCCCAACTAGGCCACTTGCAGGGGAAGGTAGGTTTACCTGCAGTGCATAGTACTCGTTATGCCCCAGGAGACTCTGTGAGTGATTCCTAACCACCCACTCGGCCCCAAGTCAGACTGTGATTATTGCTTCTGAACCTCCATAGTCATTAAACCACAGATGACCCTTTCATGCTTCCAGACCTGGGAGCTGGTAAAACCCTAGAGGCAGTGGCGGCTCCAGGCACCAGCGCAGCAAGCGCGTGCCTGGGGCATCAAACCGCGGGGGGCGCCCTGCTGGCCCTGCGAGGGTGGCAGTCAGGCAGCCTTCAGTGGCGCGCCTGCGGGAGGTCCGTCGGTCCCACGGATTTGGCGGCAATCGGCAGTGGGTACGCAGAAGCTGTGGGACTGGCGGACCTCCCGCAGAAATGCCGCCGAATCCGCGGGACCGGGGACCTCCCACAGGCGCGCCACCGAAGGCTGCCTGACTGCTGTGCTTGGGGCGGCAAAAAAGCTAGAGCTGCCCCTGCCTAGAGGAACCTATGACTGCTGCACCAGGCTCTAGTTCCTCTTGTGCTCAAAGTGAGCCTGTAATTACTGTCTTGAGGATGCTGCTCTCACTAGATTGGAAGCAACTACTGCCCTATTCTAATACCCTTACTGTATCTCCAGTGGTGTACTGAGTGGCGTGCCACATGCTGTGGACACCCTTGTCCCAATTCTGCTTGAGGGAAATGGCCAAATAAGGAAGGAAGACGTTGTTGTCCATGCTTGAGTGACCTAGCTGTCACTTTCACATTTATCTAGGTGTATCTAGAATTTTCCCCTTGATTCACTCTTAAGGGTAGGGCTTCTGATTTTCAGTTTTAACTGGTACAGCGCTCTGAGTACAAAAAATGAAACTGGTGTTTATCCAATGAACACCGGAAATGGTTACTTGTATCTAAGGACTTGCCGACATGGAGCAATAATGTGGACTGTGGGGTGTGATTTCTAAAGCGCACTAATAATGTATTGCACATTAATTGGTCCATGTAGACGCAGCTGGCGTGCACAAAAGGTTCCCTAGTGCGCTATGACATAGTGCTGTTTGAAATAGTACTGTGTTCAAGTTCACTAGGGAAAATTATAAAGAAATTACTCATTACAGTATATACAGTATATACAGTAGTATATACTGTAAATGAGTAATACATATAATATACATCACTCATTGCAGTGTATATAAAGAGACAGCCCACAAAAAAAATCTACCCTGGTTTTTGGACAGCTACATAAAACTAAAAAAAAAAAATTGCTAAAAATAAACCCCCCAAAATGAAAAAAAGACTCCCTAATGAAAGAGCTCCTAGTCCTTTACATGCAGACTTTACATAATCATACTTCCATCCTCCCCTTTTATCCAGGAAAGTAGGATAGATCATACAAGATCAGATCAGCAGTCATTGAGTCAAATATACTCTTTCTGGTTGTGGCCAATAGCTGATTCTTCAGAGCAAGATGGTGACCGTCCATAATACAGTTGTGCCATGTTGTATATGAGGGAAAATTCCTTCCTGACTCTGTTTTACCATTTACACCATGAAACATGAGATCAGATTACCTTTTAGCTTATTCAGCTACGAATATTTGTCTTCTTTGGGAAAATGCTTGGGAAGGCTTATCTAAATGTGAAGGACCTCTTGAGTTCTAATCCTGCCCTGCTACTGGCTTGGTGTGTGGCCTTGGGCAAGTCACTTAGGGCCAGATTTTTAAAAGTATCTAGGCACCTAAAGATGCAGATAGGCACATAGTGGGATTTTCAAAAGTGCCTAGGTAAACTCCCATTGAAATAAATTGATTTATGATCCTGCTCCCATTGAAATGAACAGTTCATTTCCCAGTGACTTCAGTGGTGTGGGATCAGGCCTTTAATCTCTGTAGTGTAGGTGAATTCCTGGACCCATTAAAATCAAGGGGAGTTTTGCCATTACCTTTAATGGGGGGCAGGATTTCACCCTTTTAAGTTTCCCCATCTGTAAAATGGGGATAATAGTATTTTGCTTTTGCTTTTCCTCACGGAGGTGTTGTGAGGATTGATTAGTTAATCTCTGTACAGCACTTTGAAGGTGTAAAATACTATATAACTGCAAAATAGTCTTTTTTTTTTAGTCTCCTTATTTATGGGGAAAGGATGAGGCTCTGTCAGATTACATCCCGGTAGAGGTAGTTCCTTTGCCACCAGTTCAGAGTAAGGGCTTGTCTTCCATAGGCAAAGACTATGACAACGGTAATTACTGGTGTAAGCAGTGTCACCATTACTTTGATGTAGCATGGAGATATATGTGCATTTCATATCCCTCATGAGATTTTGTGCATTTCTCTATGTGATCGTGCAGCGAGTGACAGCACTGGGAGCCATTCATGATGCATGCCATGATAAAATATGTAAATAGTGTCACGTTGTCACCGGATAAGAATGTTATTAATGCTTTTCAGCACTGTAATTATATTCATAGTAAGCCTTCCCTAAGCCCTCACTAATTAACAATATTGGGACAAGTCAACTTTAACAGAACAGAACTGTGGCCCTTTAGTCATTTAGTACTGTTTTTCATTCAGCCCACAGCCAAAATCTCATAGTGTAGTTTTGTACATTGGTGTCAGGAAAGCTGCTGATAGTTGAAAAGTTCATAGCCCACTCAGTCTTGTTAGTGGAACCCTATAGATGAAATCAGTTATAACCCTCTTTAAATATATTCAGCTGATAGGTAGACTCATTAGTTAATTATTAATGTATGAGAATTTTGAGACTGCTTTTACAAATAAGCTATCATATTGAAATAATTTAACAATGTCAATGTGTTGTCACAGAGACATTCCTTTTTTTTCAAATTATAGGATATTTTATAAGATTTTCATTCACTTTAGTTTCCAAATTAAAATGGTTTTATAAAAAATCTTATTAGGTGACCTTGAATTGTAATTGCTTTAATTCACACACAAAAATGAAGTTGCTATCTAAATGTCAGTTTCTACATGCCTTTGTTTTCTTTGTTTAAAATAATGCCATATGAAAGCTGCTTTTTGTGGGTGCTGTGCCCCATGTATCAGAATAAACAATTTACTGTGAGGCAGAGAAAACTGTTGCAACAAATGAATGGCAGTTTCTCTTGTACTATACTTGACAGAGTTGCAGCATTACATGAAGTACATCTGGCTTTTATCATTACACCAGTTAACATAAGGTCTGTGCAAAATATTCCTTTTTCTTCCACTGCACTGGTAAATAAAAAATGTATTCACAAATCCAAAAAACAAAGTGTTTGTCTTGTTTTAGCTTGATCGTAAGTCAGCTGCTGGGCTTCAGTGGTCTAAACATTTCATTCTTCAGTTTTGTTGGGAGCGCACGTGTTCTATGAGGCTTTTAAACAAATACTTGGAATGGTTGAAAGATTTGCATTGCCAGTGCCTAGCTAAATATGTAGTCTTTAGAAAAGATGTGGTTTATTTTGGCACTGTTTAAAAAACTCAAATATTTTAAACATTTGTTAAGTTCAAGCTTGCACATTTGAACTAGCCCTATACATTCCAAAGTTGCATCTCATGTTACCTGTCTCTTTGTTTTTTGTATTTTTAATCCCTTCATTAAAATAGTCTTTGTAAAGGTTTTTTTAAAAAGTAACATAAAATATTGTCATTAAACTAATGAGAGTCAAAATTAACTGCAATGGCAGACATGCAATTTCAAAAATGTCTTTTGGAATCTGAAGCTTCATGTCAGTGGCCCAGATTTCTTCCTCATAGAATGAATAAAATATATTATGGGCGTGATCCCACAGACCCTTCCTCTTAGGAGTAATGCTTACAGTGGGTTAGTAAGCATTACCCATACTACTTTGCAGGATCAGGCTATAAGCAGACAGTTTGGCTGTGTAGTCTATTGATAAAGTAGAATAACTTCAGAAAAAAGAAATCCTTCTTTTCTGTTTCCAACATGTGATAGGGAATTTTTTATAATTTAAAGTAAAAAAAACTAAACTTGCTTTGAATTTTCTGGTTAGTTTGAACCTGAACTTCATAGTGAAACTCAAGAGATGAAAACTACTGCAAACTGAAACTACCATCTTTCATGTGGCTCTAGTTAGAGGTAAAACTTAATTTTTGCTCTTAAATATTAAGTAGAAAGACTCTTCTGTTTGGCTAGTTGGTTGGCTTGTGTTGGGTTTTTTCCTCTGTATGATTGAACATGGAAGTATACCTTTGTTTTGTTTAAACCCTACCAGGACCCCAAATCAACAAAGCACTGAAGTTAAGCATGTGTTTCAGTGCTCTTCTGGATCAGAACCCAAATGCAAATGGTCAGATTGAACTCTGGGGAAACAAGTACAGCTCCCATTGTCTTCAAGTAGAATTTAGCATGCTTACTTCAGGGTTAAATTTGACCCAGAGATTCTAACTGCCATAGGCCCTGACTCCATGGGTGCTTCAGGGCTGGAGCACCCATGGAAAAAAAATAGTGGGTGCTCAGCAACCACCAGCAGCCCCGTGGATCAGCTCCTCCCCCTCCCCACAGCACCTCCCGCCTGCCAGCAGGCCCTGATCAGCTCCTTCCTCTCCCTCCCAGCACCTCCCGCCCACGGGTGATCAGCTGTTCAGCGGTGTGCAGGAGTCACTGGGGGAGAGGGAGGAGAGGGCAGGAAGAGGCAAGGAGAGGAGACAGAACGGGGTGGGAAGAGGTGGGGTGAGGGGTTGGGTGAAGGGAAGGAGTGGGGACGTGGCCTGGGGCAGAGTGGGGGTCAAGCCCCCCTCAGGAACTTAGGAAGTCGGCACCTCTGCTAACTGCATTGCATTCAGAAAAGTTCATATGCATTCAAATTGGTTTTGTACATAATACAGGTGTTTTCATTGTCATGAGATAAAATATCAATATGTCTAATGGAACAGGCCACTCCCAAGTTCCAAGAGGTTGTGCTAAGGAGAACATGTGATATACAGTGTCCAAAGAGAGGAGATCCATTTATTAATTACATGAACTTTCTACAACTGATACTTATCCAAACTATAAGTAAGTTTGCACACTATATTCCCAGATAAAATTGAAGAAATAACTCTTGTTATCCCAAGGAGTTCAGAAGGGTAGAAACTCTAATATGGTGCATTTGTCACAGACAGATATGAGCTGACCAAATTTCTGAAGCAAACCTTTTCAAAGAGACTTCCATATATTAAAATGCACGATAAAACAAACAAATAAATAAATAAATAACCACTGCCTGGGAACTGCTCTAACTTGCAGATTGAAGACCTAGAGTTTTGTTTTTCAGTATTTGACTTTCACAGATGTAGCTTTATTGTTTCACAAATTCTTTATGTGGCCCAATGGGTGTGTTCTCTGTATGCTATTTA